TTTTTTTTTTTTTTTTTTTTTTAGCGATCTCGTGGAGGTACCTATAATAACTCATTCTCAACCGCCCCCTCCACTAGATCTCGAGAGAAGGTCCCTCCTTGTCTGAGGCTTCTTTCTATTTTTTTCTTTATTGATTCTAACAGTTACAATCTATATGACTGAGAATGTTGAACAATTTTTCAAAGATGAAGAGGAAAGGAGACCGAAAGCACATCTGGCTCGACAAATGGATGCTGAAGAGAATAGCATGGACGAACATGTAAGCAACAACAAAGTTTTAAGCAAAATGAGAAACGGAAAGGACACTTTAAATTAGTAACAGAAAAAGTTGAAATTTCTGGGAAACGTAACGATGAAAGATCGTTTGGAGAACTTAAGTCACAGGATATGCTCAATGCAAGAATGTCGGGCTGAACTATCGAACAAACGTACCTAACGCGCTGGATGGTGGAGCAAAGGATGCGAGGTAATATTAGAGGTCAAACATAGCTTAGTGGTCAATTAATTAAAGAGCTGACTTATTGACATTTAATCATGGAAGACGATGATCGCGCGTGACACTATTAAGTGCCTGGAAAGCATACAATGAATTGATCCACGCCCCGACAGTAGTCAAAATAGTTTTGAAAGCGTCGATATTGATGGTAGCGATCACTAACAAGTTCTCAAACAGCAGACAGAAATTCTTTAACCATGGTTGGTAATCTAGCTAAATCTCGATAAAAAAATTCAATCCCCGAGGAGACCAGCCAATTACGGGACGTATCTGCTAATATTCTTAAAATGACTGAAATTCACGAGTTGATAAGCTGACGCTAGTTAGTAACGAAATATTAACTTGTAAATATATATATTTAATGAAAAACAGGCCACTTTAAGGTACCATTACAATAATTTATTTCACCAAAATCCTTTTTAAAGGATTTACCTATTCTGTTTACCAAGTTCTTCATAACTTTATATATATATATATATATATATATATATATATATATATATATATATATATACTTGAGATCTTTTGCCTATATAATCGTCTTTCTTTTATTCGATTTTTTTAAACGCCAATCTCAGTCAAGATAGGGGGCGAGAAATAGCTTAACAGAAATTAGATTTTACAGATATATCAATAAATGTATGTCGCTATTGTAGTTTTAGGAAAAGATACACGTATGTTTTCTTGTTTCATTCTCCTAGTCTGGTGGCTAATTAATATCATAGTACAATTCGCAGTGATGTTTAAACCAGTACTGTAGCAAAAATAATGGATCCATGCCGCCTTTAATGATATTAATGCGAAGTAAATACAAATTAGCTCAGCTGAATTTTGAACCTGGCATGCTGGTTTCATTTTTATTCCTTCTAACTCTCAATGCACACGAATCTCTAGGACATGAAATAACAAATGAAAACTAAGGTTAATGGTCTATATTTCAAATGACACCAATTATTTCCGGTTCTTTTTAGTGCACAATCAGAAGGATCGAAGTTTATTTATTAGAACATTACCCATAATATTGTGAACCGTGTTCGAATTCGAGTCGCGTTCATTATATTTACTTACGTGCAGATATCGTTATGAATCGATTTCTTCCTCCCAACTGCAGGTTAAATAGTAAAACTTGTATCTGGAAAAACCATTGCCCAAAAATAGACACGCAACTGAGAGTTGATAAGTAATGTGTTACAAACCACTCGAGAGAGAGAGAGAAATTCATACAAGGTATTTATTATGTCTCCACACTAAGATGAGTTATGACACAAGGTCAGTTTTTAAGGTGGGTACCCGAGCTCATACAACCAAGCAAAGAACAAAAATTGCCCGCAGCCTCCACAACCGTCGGTAGCACTGCCCTCGGTGCGAGCAGCGATCTGTCTCTCTGGTGCAATTAGAGGGCGCGGCTTCCAGCAGCTGTTTCACAGGGCTAGACAACTGTCAGTATAAATTTTCTCAGTTACAACGCTGTCCTTTGACGGAATCGCCCCTGAGTGCACTCTGCACAAAGACAGAGACGCAACTGAGAGTTAATAAGTATTGTTACAAACCACGAGAGAGAGAGAGAGAGTAATTTACACAAGGTATTTATTCTGTCTCCCCACAAAGACGAGATGTGACACAAGGTCTTTTTTAAGGTAGGGACCCGAGCGCGTAAACCCGGTCAAGGAAGAAAAATTGCTCAAACCCCCGCAACCCTCTCTCTAGTGCATTGAGAGGGCGAGGACTCGGGCAGCTGATTCCCAGGGCTGGGCATCTCTCAGGATAAATTTTCTCAGTTGCAATTCTGTCCTTTGACGGAATCGCCCCTGAGTGAACCTGGTATTTACTGTGTCCCCACTAAGACGAGTTGAGACAAGGTCTTTTTTAAGGTAGGCACCCAAGCTCTTACACCCGGGCAAAGAAAAAAATTTTCCCGCCACCCCCGCAACCGTCAGTTGAGCTGTTTTGGATGCGAGCACCGATCCCTTTTTCTAATATAATTTTTCTCAGTTGCGAGACTGTCCTTTGACGGAGTCGACCCTGAGCGAACTGCCCAAGGAGAGAGACGCGACTGAGAGATGATAAATTGGGTGTTACAAACTCCTCGAGAGGAATTTACATAATAGAGAACACCGTATTTACTTGACCCCCCCCTGCGAGGTCAGGTTGTGTCACAATGTCGGTTTAATGTAGGGAGCCCGAGCGCGTGCACCCGGGCAAGGAACAAAAATTCCCCGACCTCCGCACCCGTTGGTTGCACTGGCCTCGGTGCGTGCACCAATCTTTCTCTCTAGTGCAATGAGAAGGCGCGGCCTCGGGCAGCTGTTCCCCAGGGCCAGGCACCTCTCAGTATAATTTTCTTCAGTTGCGACTCTGTCCTTTGACGGAGTCGCCCCTGGGCGTTACAAACTCCTCGAGAGGAATTTACACAATAGAGAACACCGCGTATTATTACACAAAGGATTTTCTGTGCTACTTTTACGTATATCACTAATAATTGGTATTGACAACATTCGCCGTAGCATTTAATTTGCATAACAATTTTTAAAATCATATTTTAATAAATATTTCTTCTGTGTTATTTATTTTTAATTGTTTCTTTTTTTTTTTTAATTACAATATATGAGTAATGTTTCTGTCAAAAATATTCTTTGAAAAATTCATCGTGTTTGCAAAGAAATAATTTATATCTGATTTCTCAAAATTTAACCATTCTCAAGAGAGCAGTAAAAAAATATTGTTCACATTCAACGTAAACAGAAACTGAATGCAATCTCGGTTTTTCAAAATAAATTTATGGAATTACCTAAATAAATGAAAATAATCTGATTAATTGGATTTTCTTGATATCTTACCGAATTATATAAACAAGCGAAAAAATACGTTTGCTGAATTTATAAAACATGAATTATTTTGAAGTATTTTTAAATAAATATTACAGGATTATTTAAATACTGAATTTTAAATTAATTTTAACTGAAAAAGATTTCAATAAAATAAATAACATAAAACAAAAACTAACTAACTAACTAAATAACTGGTCTGTCGAATTCATTTTTAATGTCATAATCAATAAAAAATATTACTTCCGTACGTAAATATAGTCTGTTGCTGAATTATTTTGTTATCAGTAAAATCATGGGAACATCTCTTGTAATAGATTCATTGCTTGGAGAACGGCTAGTGGTTGATATACTTCAAGTGTCATTCATTTGACATTAGTGGTGCCTTTATGCCACCATATTACTAACCGTGGGACACTTACACGTGGTGTAATGGTTAGCAAGCTTGTCCCGCTAGATCAATTACGACTGAGTAGTGAGTTCGAACCTCAATGGGTGTACCACACTTTAGGCCTTGCGTCGCATATAAGTGACGCTTAGAAAATCACTAGTGTACTTCGACGTAGTGTAAAGGTTAACAAGCTTGATCAAGCTAACGTTAGATCCTCACTGGTGGTCTATACTTTCAGCTTTGTGCCACATCTTAGCTACGCGTAGAAAATCCTCATATCAAATTGCGACCTTTTGAGCTACATTTGAAATAAGCTTTGCTAGCCTGAAAATGTGAATTCAAACAAATGTTTTTTTTGTTTTTTTTTTAAATGATGTAAAATTGTAGTGGTCGGGGAAGCATCCACGGAGCAGTTGTTCGTGTGAAGAAGCTGCCCGAATAGAATTTGCACCTCACCAATGGAATACGAGGGGAATGAGGGTGATTCACTACAATGGGCGTGGTATGTTGGGTCTAAGGCGTGAAGGTTTGAGCTGGTGGAACTAAGGAATGTAGTGCGTCTGGACAATTTATATGAATATAGCTACAGATCAGAGACAGGCTTGCAACGTTCCATCCGTGTGAAAGGAGTGATTCCGTGCAAAGTAAGTCATCACCCATAAGGACGTTGATCCACTTTTCACTCTATCGACACTGGAAAGTTAAAGACTGGACAGCTCCTGCCCATATATAGCAATGGTACTCCATTTTTCGGCCTGATCTGGCTCGTGTAACGTCTGAGGATAGCGGAAGCAATCAGGCACTTGGTGGAATTGTACATAGAACAGACCATTCTTTTTCAGCGTCTTTAGCTATGGGCCGCATGTACAAGTTCCAATAAGATCTGGTTTGAGTTTAATCCCAATAGGTGGTCAAGGCATGTCGTCTCCCTGAGGGAACATCCGTTCATCGCTATTGTTTGTGGCTGTTCAAATTAAAATCCCAAATCGCTACTTGTACTATAATATAAAAACCCTGTCTAATACTCTATCCATTGAGTTCTATCAATAACGGTAACACAGATTTTCATTGTCTTTACTTCTCGACGCGCTCGCTCTCAGAGACTCACCAACCATGAAGCCAACATTCATAAAATTCTAACTTGGCCTGTAATGAAAAACACCTACGGCGCCATTCGCCATCTTTGTCCGCTACTTTTATCGAGTACTGGTTAGAGCTTACTGCGGCCTTCCCTGCCATCTTCTGCTGCTTTTATTTTATTTTTTTTTTTTTAAGTATTCGATTGGATATGTTTTACTCATTCTTTTTACTTATCTGTTTCTTCCCGCGATTTAATCTCGTCGCTATATGTGTATACCACTTCTCTTCAGGACATGGCAAATCTATCTGCCAATTCTCGCACGGGTCAGTGCTCTCTCTCTTGTGATCATCGCTTTCACTATATCGCTCTTGTTAGATTTATAGATTTATCTAGTCTCTTATATTCACTTATATATACACTTATGTGTGTGTCCATAGGAAGGGCTATGAATGTTTGGACATGTCGTCAAAGAAAGACCTATTTCAATGTGTAGTGATTTAGAGAACTGCTTGAAATGTCATGTAAAAAGAGGATAACTTACCAGTTGAACTAACAGCAAAGTACTCACATTTGCCAAAATTCTGAACAGCACGTCCTCTCACTTTGTGTGTGTGTGTGTGTGTGTGTGTATATATATATATATATATATATATATATATATATATATATATATATATAGCACATGCTGCTGGAGGTAATAAAACAAAGCATAATAGCTAAATAACCGTCAGTTTTCAATTAGAACCTGACGATTGCATTGTGCATGAAACTCGTGATACTGGTAAAGTGTATGGTATATATATATATATATATATATATATAAAATTTCACAAACCTCCAGTATCGTCTGGAATTAAATTAAACTTTCCGTCTCACCTCCATCCTAAAACAGTCTCATATATAGATATGCTGGTATTTGAGAAATAGAGAGAAAAAATGCTTTATAAATATATGCTACTCATAATGCAATAATATATACATAGACGAGCCAAAACCCACCGCGCGCAATCTGAAGATTGTGTTCAAGTATAAAACAGACTGTCGCCACTTGGTGTTGACATCAGTGTCCATTTTTCATATTTTATTTCTACATACGCTCTCTCTGATGTTGAACACATTTACCCATAAATATGGCATACTTTAAAATTATACTGTGGGCCTATGTTAATACGTATAACTAATTACATAAGAAAAAGCATCAGGTTAATGTTACAATAGGCAGATAACATTTCAGTGTGAGATAGAAATATGGCTTCTGTACAAGAATTCTTTTGTTTGATAAAGGCGAATGTTATAAAAATCTAACACGGATACATCTTGTTATAATGATGTAACTCATATTGATTTCTGGAAAAAAATACATTTATAAAATAAGTTATCATTCCAGCTTTCTCTATGAGATATATTCTCCCAGTGAAACAGTGTTACATCATTAAAAAAAACAAAAATTCTCGATTCAATGAATTCTTCGACAACTTAATCGGGATCTTGAAAGAAACAGAAGTACTGATCTGACAAGAAGTATGCTATATAGGAATAAAGTGTTGCTGCCGACACTTCAGCTTGAACATAGATCGCCAGTGAGCAGAAACAAGTGATCCCATTATTGTACACCATGTGACAGAGGAATCGCATATGTGGTTGATAGGGTCTCTAATCTATTGCCATTCCTATTCTATCTTCTATTACTATTCGGATCACCATTTCTACTCTATCCTATTACTATACGAATCACTATCCTCTATACTATTACTATTTCTCCATTCAGATCGTTATACGGATTACTATTCGAGCGAGTACTATTAGTGCGAGTGATATTCGAAGGCGTCTGACACCAGTATTGTTCAACGGCGTTACTATAGTTGTATATACGATTACAAAGATTCTACTACAACGAGCATTACGAAAGTGACAACGAGTATTCGTTGACATTACAAAAGTGGCATAGTGTTCCTTGACATAACAAAAAGTGTTTTCTTCCACGATACAAATGATAATCTACATTTGTCAGATGAATGTAGTGCTTTTACGTTATGCTAATAGTATAATTGTTGCGTTGCATTTTCAACATGAGGCCTAGTTCATAAATATATTAAGAAAAAATTCCAATGCGGCATTTAAACGAGTCAATTTTTCGTTAAGTATTTTTACCTCAGAATTTCGAAGGCTCTCCTCGTTTAAGTCAGTTTTTTTTTGCAATAACGCCATAGTGTCAGAAACAAACAAGAAAAAGATTACTGAACTTTTATATAATACCAGTCCTATCTGGTACATATATTTTGGCAATCTCCTCAAAGACGAAGAAGAATCTTGAAGCAAAAGAAATGTGGTTCTACAGAAGGATGCTAAAATACTACTGACAGAACATGTGAGCAACAACGAAATTCGTCCTGGGATTGATGTTAAACTGCATCCAGCAGCAATGCCTCTAATCAGGAGGTTTTGAGGAGTGTGGAACCACCTCTTAATTGCTGGTGTTCCCAGGTCCACCCTGACCCGGGGTGGTAGCACCTGTTAGGGTCCCAGCTATGAGCAAATGGTGAACTCCTAGTTTTATCAAGATCTTACCCACGTCCTGTGTATGACGATAAACTACGTCCAACAGCAAGGCCTCAGATATTGTTTTCGGAAAAGTAATGTTGCCAGCTATACGTTTTTGAAAAAGTAATGTTGCCAGCTATACGTTTAATAGTACTATATATATATATATATATATATATATATATATATAAACTTAATTTGGCATTAAATGACCTAAAGTGGTTGATATGCCATAAAACCCAACCAACGAACAACAACGAAATTTTAGAAAAAAATAAAGACAAAACGGACAAATATACTTAACATCACTCTTCCTAAAAGTAGACGTATTGGGATGGACAAGGACACATTACAAAAACTGGTCAGTGTAATGCGAGACAGGTGGATTTCTTTGGTAACAAAGAATAACATATTGAGCAGTTACGTGTCCTTCTTTGCAGCAGCGAATGTTGGACGATTTCCTCAAACCTGAAGAAGAGACTCGCGGTGACGGAGATGTGGTTCTACAGAAGGATGCTAAGGATAACATGGACGGAGAGTGTGAGCAATGATAAGGTCTTAGAGAGGTTGCAAACAAGGGGAAGGCTTATACCTAACATCAGGAAGAGGCAGCTGAATTTTCTGGGACTCATAATGAGAAAAGAGGGCTTGGAGAATCTGATATTCACGTGTCGAATAGAGGGAAAGAGAGACAAGGGAAAACAACGCATGAGATATCTAGCGGGCATAAGATGACAGAACGTGGTCTGGTTGAGGTGGCAGAGGTAGGGAACATGTTGAGAGATACAAGGGATAGTGAGGTGGAGATCGCCTACTTCCTGAAAAGTCGTGGCCCATAAAAAGAAAGAATACTTTGCATCAGGAAGAGACAGTTGAAATTTTAAGGGCAAATAATCTGTGGAAATTTCGAAGACACTGTCTTGATTTGTTTCAGTTATGCAAATGGTGGTACTTATTATGCAAATAGCGGCGATAGGAACTTTCGAAGTGAACAAGACGTATTTAATTTTTACTAAATAAACGGTAGACAGAATATTTTGCACAAATATGAAATGGTGATAAACATGTAGATTAGATTATCACATGGCGTCGCTTCGCCAAGGAAGATTTAGAAGCGGTTCGCACCTCCGTTTCTGTCCCAAACGTTGCAGGCAATTTTGTTCTTTTTTTCTTTTCTTTGACAGTGGCTACAGGAAAAGATCTGGTAGCAAGAAGGAGCTTCGGTTTTACATTTCTGCCAATTCTATTGTTTTATTCAGAAATGAGGTTCTCTCGTTCGGAAACCTATCTCATAGCACCGACCGGTGGCCGATTTGTCAAAGAGAAGGCTCTTTGAGAGACGGTAATTATCCGTCCTCAGGACATTGATTAGCACAGATTAGACTTTTTCAGGTAAAGTCTCAATGCTTGTTACACTGTCGCTCTTTTTACGACTCTAGTGGCACTTATGAATTCTCTCTGTTGCCAATTGAGAACGATGTAGAATCGATGTTGGATACTTTTTTGTACGTGTACCCCAGATTTGACTTCCGTAGTGACAGATAACATGATGTTGAAGTTATGATTCGTATTTCTCCGGATAGAATTTTGTGGTCTGTTAATGTTTCTGTTGTCTTTACCATTTTGTCTATTCTGCTTAAAAAGGTTCTTCGAAGCTATAGTTTTCAAGATCCTCACACCACTGAGTGTGATCATCACTGGGTAACGCATGGTTATGTCTTATTACTAGAATATTCTGATGTTAGTGTGCTTACATAAGTATGTATGTATGTATGTATGTATGTATGAAAGAGAAACTGGTCGTTTTTTGCCTTGTTTTCTATCATTCTGTTCTATTCTGACTCTTCCTCAGTCTATTATTTTCTCTAATACCCTCCCTTTTCGGCTCAAGTCTTTCTCCCGCGTATTTTGGGGTTCATCTCCACCCGTCTAGGTATTTCTACTTGTGCTACTTCAGTTTCTAACTTAACACCATATTTTCTCTCGCACACAATTATTTTTTCAATCCCCGTTTCTCTGTTTTCTGTGACATTTTACTTAATATTTCTGTCTATATTTTTATCCTATATTACTTTTTATTCCTTCTTTTTTTACCTAATTAAACTCTCATTTCACTTACCGCTCCCATTGCCAGTGTTCAAGTTGTGACGTGGCTGCCACCATTGCCAGCGCCTCACGTTCCCCTCCACTTTTTCGTACCGTTCTCATTGCCAACGTTTCCCTCAGTGTCTGGTGATGTTCTCACTGCCAGCGCCGGCTCAGTGTCTGGTGGCGTTCTCACTGCCAGCGCCGGCTCAGTGTCTGGTGGCGATCTGGTCGGCTCAGTTCTCACTGGCGATAACACTGCCAGCGTCGGCTCAGTGTCTGGTGGCGATCTCACTGCCAGCGTCGGCTCAGTGTCTGGTGGCGATCTCACTGCCAGCGTCGGCTCAGTGTCTGGTGGCGATCTCACTGCCAGCGTCGGCTCAGTGTCTCGGCGATCTCAATGCCAGCGTCGGCTCATGTCTGGTGGCGATCTCACTGCCAGCGTCGGCTCAGTGTCTGGTGGCGATCTCACTGCCAGCGTCGGCTCAGTGTCTGGTGGCGATCTCACTGCCAGCGTCACCCCACTATCTCCTGACGCTCTCATGTGTAATTTTTTGCCACTTTCTCATGCTGTGAATGATTTTGACAGGTATTCAACTTTATCATTCTTTTATATTCTTTTTCTCTTCTCTTTACCTCTTTCTAACACATTTCCCTCTCGTTTCTCTCACTAATCTTTTCAGTTCTCCTATCCAATATTGGTTCTTCCCTTCATCGTCTTTATCTCTTAATATAGCTCGAACTACAAATTTTTCAAATCACAGATTTCGTTTTTTTTTTTTTTTTTTTTTTTCTTGACGATCTTTGGCCAATATCCTCTTCAGACAACGGACAGGAATTTGTCTATTGCGAAAAATAATTTCCTTTTTCCGAATAAACATCGGCGCTACAGAATTTTCAGAGCTATTTCTCTCTCGCCCTCCCTCCTTCCTTCCCTGCAATGACAGGTCGTGTAGTTACTTCAGGGCATGGACTCCTAATAAAACTTATAATGAAAAGTAGTCAGTTGGTGTTTGTAATACCGACATCCAGTTTGAATGTATCAATGTTTTATTAGTCGAGTTCAGAGTTTATATCACGGGACGCAACAAATGGAAAGAAGTTTATTATATATATATATATATATATATATATATATATATATATATATATATATATATATATATACAGAGAGAGAGAGAGATGTATAGTGATTTTTAGTGATTTTTCCAAGCAGAGCTTCGATGTGGCACGAGGCCGAAAGTAGGGATAATTCAGTGATAGTATAGTAATCACAACTTCGTTGTAAATGTTCTAGCGAAATAAGATGGCTAACTATTACACCGCCTCGATGTGAACTCTACGTATAGCAATATATGGTGATATAAGTTTGCTATATATATATATATATATATATATATATATATATATATATATATATATATATAATGGACTAATTCCTACTATTATTTAATGCATATTTTGTTTATACGTTATTTTTTTATAGTGACAAATATTTAAGTAAATGCTCAATTAATAATAAACAGTATTAAAAACATTTACAGGCCTGAACTTCCGAGATATTTCATAGAAAATATGTATCCTCCGACAAGAATCGAACCTGTATCCTACATGGAACCGTCACATAGCCTGACGTGCTATACCATTTAGGCTATATGATGGTTCCGTGTGAGCATACAGGTTCGATTTCTGTTGGAGAAATCATACCTTCTATGAAATTTCTTGAACATTCAAGCCGGTAAATGTTGTTAATACTCTTTGCCATAAACAGATCATTGACTTAACTATTTGTATCTATAAAATTACGTATAAACAGTATATAATATATATATATATATATATATATATATATATATATATATATATATATATATATATAATCACTTATATACGGAGATAATAATAATATATAATTATTTATTTAAAAATATGATTCTATCGCTACATAAGAGTTCTCATGTTTCAAAACAAGAGCTGAAAACTTCAATATAATTATTTGAATTAAACTACCAAGCTCTGTTCCATCTTCAACCGAAATTTTTTGGGAATAACTAATTCTTGAACTTTACGCGTTTTTATAAGCATATTCATTATTAAAATTACTATGGTAACGGCTAGAGCAATTTAAAAAAAAAAAAAAAGTGGGGGCGTAAGGGTTAATAATTTGTATCAATATCTCGGTTACATTCAAAGACGTCAAGTCAGAGTAAGGTTGGGGTGTCTAAATTTAAAGCGGAATATGACATTGTCTAGTCTGGTTAAGTGTCTATGGAGATCTATTTATTTTTTTAAATTATATTTTCTTTCCTGAAAGGGTTTTGTGCATATAAAAAATTCATAATTAGCTAACATTTGTTTGTTTGTTTTTTTGACGACTTCATAAAGGTGTTTTTTTTTTTGTTTTTTTTTTTCATATTTATTTCAAAATTTGCGGGCTTAGCGGAACGATTTGTATTAGTTCTCAAAGTGACCGCTTGGCGGCGGTGGCTGGCTTTTCAATTGTAATCAAAGACAGTTTGACAGTATAAAAAGTGCGATACATTACCGCGTTTGTAAGTAGCTGTAAGAAATCTAATATTTTTATTTTGATTAATATATATATATATATCTATTACGTATATATTTATTTATACCATATGAACATATATTATTTACATTGCGATTATAACTACTGGTTGTTACTATCGTGGTTTTGTAACTAAGAAAGAATTCCTACCTGTCTACAGACAATTTGCTTTGTCGGACCACCCATCACTTTATTAGTCCGTCAATCAGAGGTTTGTCTGTAATAAATGTTTATTTATAATAAAGAGCATTTCTTTAAACAAATTGTATCTTTTAAAATAACGTATAAACATAAAATACATAAAATAATTGTCGGACTTAATCCATTTCATTTTATATATATATATATATTGTGTGCGTGTTTTTACACATTTGAGAATATATGCTTCTATATATTTAAATGTAGATAACACTTGTATTTACAGAAATGTTTATATGAATTTATGGATATAATTATTTTTATCATTGTTCTTACAATGTTCACTAAATATGTCAGCAGAAAGGGGGAATGGAAACTTGGGAGTATCCATTGCTAGTAATCTAAAAGAGATAGCTAAAGATTTGGATAATTATGAGTACAGCGGCTTGGAGTATTTAGTGTTCACAGGGAACATCGAATGCAAAACAAACTCGGAAAAGAACAGAGAGTAACCTACTTGGAAAGTCTGAGGAAATGGATTGCAGGTAAAAAAAATATATGAAATGACGGAAGAGAGAAATATTTCGCGAACAACTGTAAAATATCTTAGCTTACTGCTCTTTTTAAATTAGAAAAATATAACTTGGAATATTCGACGTGTTGATATGATCTTTGTGTTATGTCACTTTAGGTCAGCGTTTCTCAACGGTTGCGTCCGGGCGCACTAATACGTCCTGAAAGGTAGTCAGGCGCGCCTCAAGTGACCAGAAGAGTAATTTATGAATTATTTTTATGCTTAAAAAAATATATTTATTTGTAAAAAGCTAGAGACACCGAGTAATGGAATGTCTTAAAAATAAATGCTTACTTCACAAGACCTATTTAATATTTACCTATTTTCAAAATTTCGAAACATATTTTTCCTTATCAAAACTTAAAGTGCGCGCCACAGTTTCGACAAATGCGCCCCGAAGTGAAAATGGTTGAGAAACACTGTTCAGGTCATAAGGAGCCAAGGTTTTTCTCAAATACCTGGCTTTTTATTGCTTTAAGTAACTCGACTCTCTGTGCCAACTGTTTTTTTGTTTTGTTTTGTTTTTTTTGTTTTTTTTTTGTTTTTTTGTTTTGTTTTGTTTCTTTTTGTTTTGTTTCTTTTTGTTTTGTTTCTTTTTGTTTTTTTTTTGTTTTTTGTTTTTTTTTTTTTTGTTTTTTTTTTTTTTTTTTTGTTTTTTTTTTTTTTTTTTTTTTTTTTTTGTTTTTTGTTTTTTTTTTTTTTTTTTTTTTTTTTTGTTTTTTTTTTTTTTTTTTTTTTTTTTTTTTTTTTTTTTTTTTTTTTTTTTTTTTTTTTTTTTTTTTTTTTTTTTTTTTTTTTTTTTTTTTTGTTTTTGTTTTTTGTTTTTTTTGTTTTTTGTTTTTTTTTGTTTTTGTTTTGTTTCTTTTTTGTTTTGTTTTTTTTATATTTTTTTTTGTTTTTTGTTCTTGTGTCTACTTATACACTTCGAGGCGACGGTATTATTGAAAATACTCGGGATACTGAGGAGGTTTCTGTGGAATTGAGAAAACTTGTCATTAAGCTCAAGGTCATACCACGGGTTTTTACTAATGTAACCACTCGATGGGACAATAATACGATGAATAAGATCAATACGAACTGAATCTATAAAATGCCAAGCATTGTTGCCTGCTTTAGGTGGGCGGGAAATTCCCATTTTTTTTCTTTTATGTGGCATGTACCTTTATAACCCTCCACATCTTCCTATCCCTTGTAGCTCTTAATATTTTGTTTTTCTAACATCCATTTGCCCAGACTCATCAAGTACACTAACCTCTGCATTCCTCTGTCCCTCTTTCCCTTAATCTGTCTTGTGAGTATCAGATCACGTGCCCCCTATATTTCAATTGCATCTTCCTGATGTTAATTATAAGTTTCCTTTTTGTTTCCCCTTTCTTCAAAACCTCGTTCTCGCTCACATGTTCCGTCCATGGCAGTCGTCTAATATGGCAGCAAATGCTGGGCAATCTTCTTACGGATGTAACCTGAAACAATAGAAATATAGTTCTACTGATGGATGCTGAGAATACCATAGACCGAATATGTGGGTAACGAGGATATTTTAGATGTCATTTGTTTCTTTAATGGCATATCAACTTTTTATGGGTCATTTAATGCCGAGGTTTGAAGTAATAAAAATAGTATACGTGTTATTACATGGTAGATGATGCTCAGCTTTTATGCATACATGTTTTATTGAAATTTTGTTGAAGTTATATTTTGGAATACAGTTTGATTTAAAAAATTGTAGGACATTATATGGATTAATGTTATGAAAGTTTTTTTCCTGTTGGTTCTTTTGTTGATTATCTTTTCTTTTTTTTTTTTTTTAGCGGCATATCAAACTATGGGTTATTTAATGCGGAAATTTAAATATTCTGAACACAATTTCATAGCCTTAACTCCAGATAAAATGTATTCTTAGTAATTCTACTATAAAATGTAATTCCGGTCATTTTTCTTTAGAAATATGTCGTTGGTAATGTTACTGTGAACATGTATTGTTTGCATTCGCTATTCTTACTATGACTATTACTGCAGTATTTTTATTATTAAAATATATTTTTTATACTTTCATAGGGATTATAGGGATTTGTTTTTGTTTGTGGATTCACTATTTGCCAATAGTTGGAACCCGAACAAGTTCTACCACCTCAGGTCAAAATGGAAAACATAAAGGACACTTATGCATAAAATCAGAAAGACAGATTTGAAATTTATACGGCACATAATGAGGAAAGTGGACTTGGAAAATTTGACAGTCACAAGACTTAGTGTAGGCAAGGGTAACAGATATAATCTACCTGACGATCCTGAGTAAGTGAACAGGATTCAGGAAAGACAACAAAAAAATTACTAAGATCTAAAAACCTACCTGACGATCCTGAGTAAGTGAACAGGATTCAGGAAAGACAACA